GGGGCTCAAAAATGAAAATGAAAATGAAACCGTAACGTTTAGCTGAAAAGAGGACAACACAGTCTTATGTCAGACACTCTTTTTTGCCGTGGTGCTAGATGATTGGGTTTGCTTCCACCTGACGTGATCCTAGCTCCGAAAGTACAGTTTGCTTCGAAGAGTGGAAGGAAATTGACCTTCTTCTACCTTTGAAGATTCCATAATAGTAATTCCCGGTGCTCTCATGTCGTCCCTCATCCTGCAGGTTTTGATATAGGATCTGCGTTTTCGATAGACTAACAAAGGACGAGCTTCGCTGAATTGTCCTTACCAGCTTCTCTTTTCACTTGCACGAACCGAAAGATGGTTCTCAATGTTTCCCACATCGTTGGAGAAATTTTTTTTGCTATCTCTATAGAGTGTACCACATATAATGGCAGAGTCACGGTTTTATTGCCTAGTTTGTATGTATCTGCCTAAGTCAGCCTACTTGTCGAGCTCATCTTGAATTAAACGAAGATGTACCCATGAATCTCGGCCAAAGTGGCGGTTTCCTGGGTGATGTTAGATTGTTGTTATTTTGTTTTGTGTTTCCTTCTATTCACTGCGTCGGCAAAGGAACACATGCGGAATTCTCTTCTTTTCTTTGCAAATTCTCCTGTGTCATCTACCCAGATCGCCATCTCTATGAGGGAGATCTGTACACCCGTGTCTCGAAGTTACGGCAAATCCTTATGACCACCTGTGACAAGCGGGCATCATAGCCGGCCAGTGCGTGTTGACGGTCAGCTTCCAGGAAAAGAAAAAGGCCCAGTAACCGCTGGAGTCTTCGTGAAGAAGGATATATCCGCTAACCCATTTTGGCTGGGTTTGCTTCTTTTTCTTTTGGATGAATTATTTTTGGCCTACTAGTCAGATGTTCTATTTTATTTCTCCTCCTTTTTCCACTCACCATTTCAACATTGCCTTTTTATTGAATCACTTGACCCACGGGATACTGTTTCCTTTGCTAAGCTATCCTTTGCTAACTTACGTCTGCGTTTTTCTTCTCTTTTCTTCAGTAACTTTGGACCTCCATTGCGTAGCGCGTTTGAATAAATAAAATAAATGAATAAATAAAGAAATTTCAATGTTCTCCATTGGTCACCACTCGCGCGAAGGCGGACACCGTCCGTAAGACTGCTCTCCAGCTTGAGGTGCTCGGCAAACGACCTAAAGGACGCCCCAGGCAACGTTGGCTTGACACGCTGCACGCGGATTTAAAGATAGTTGGTGCTCACCCTGATCAGGCATTCGACCGGAATAAATGGCGTAACAAAATCAGGAGAGCGGACCCCGCTACAGAGCGGGACAAACGCTGAAGAATAATAAGAAGAAGAAGAAGTTCTCCAGTGGTCACCAGCTATTTTTGGAAAATGAAAGTAAGCAGATATACTCGAAATCCCTGAGATCGGGTAGGCGTGGCCGCATGTTTCAACTTAACCTGAAGGTGTCTATGCTTCTGTGAGATATTTTCATCTTGACACAATTGTTGTCGTGTCTCTGTCCAACAGAGAACAAGATGACAGTTGTCCCAGACTGGAATATTCCACGAGTAACCAGTTCCGTGCCATGTTCAAATGCCACGCCTACTCTGCTCAGGGATAAGGAGTGTATTTTGGTGTTACCAGACGAGTTGGGCCACTATAGAGCGAAGCGTGCCAGAATGCTTACGTCAGTTTAATGCAGTCTAAAGTCCAGTTATCAATCAGATGGCCTTAAGAACAAGGGCCCGCTGGAACTCTACCTAAACGCACACAAATCTTTTTCTCTACAGATGCTGTGTGTCAGAGGAGCTCGTTTTACCACCAGTCCGCTTTCCACCAAATGTTGAAGTGGGCAAAGGAACCGACAACAGGTAGTAGAGAGTGAGCTAGCTCCGCGTCGAACCCATCCCGCTGAGGCGCCCTAGTGTACACAGCAAAGATAACTATGTGATTCCGGAACTGGGTCGGAACTCTCTGAAGAACCGTTCCAAAGGGCAGCTCTACTTCCTTTACACGGGTGTCGCACTAATTCCACTGAAAAACACTTGCCGCACGCGCAACGCAGTTTTTGGATCACAGGCCACGCAAACGTGGCATGTTCGCAAGTTCGCCACCCGGTATGAATAGGCGGATGATGTGACTTTGGCGAGAATTTTTGCAAGTACCTCGCAAAACAGAAAAAAATTCACCTGGGGTCAGAACGCAAGATCGTGTCCTAATGACTACGATCACCTTCGAAGATCTTTGTGAGTCTGCTCGAAAAAGTGTATTAGGAATCGTCCTGCACGAGAGCAGGACAGAGATCCAAGCACTCAGCCTTAGAGGGCACTAGTGTGTTCAACACACGATATAATGGGAACCAGAAAACTATTCGACGCCAAGAAGTCAGCCTTTCGGTATTTGTTTGTTATGCTTGCATAGTTGCCACAACATACTACTTCCGCTTCAGAAGGCACACACGTGAAACTGGAGAATAGCACACACCTGCCAAGGAGAACACGGGAAAAAAGTCGGGAGGAACCAGTCAAGCAATCAGTCAGGAACACAGAGACTCTTCTCAAAAAAATGTTTTCCATTTTCCACTGTGATTTACCTTAGCTGAAAGTGTCATACGATTAAAAGATCGGAGCAGTAACAAGCTTTAAAATCACAATTCCCACACTACCAGCCACACCATTACCTATTACCTCCGCAGCTAATATCAAGGAAACGATAGTTGTGTTGGTATGCAATGAGCTGAATTCATTATCACATTTCTTAAAAAAACCTCCCGATACGTGAAAATAACAAATTCAGGCGAAAAGAAATTGACTGCAAGCTTCCAAGACGTGCCAAGATTTTATCAGTATTCAAATTCAATTCTGTGCTGCACAATGGCATGCTCGATGGTGGTTAAGAAGATTAATATGTGCATAAATACAATTCAATATATCCCCTTTTAGATCAAAGGGACATTATAAAAAAGTCGCCAGAACGGTTTTCAATACTACGTCTCTTTACAGTATCTCTTTCCGTACAGCGCAGCCCTTTCCCACTCCTTTTCGTTTCTTCTTTTTTTTGCCTCGAGTTCAATGTTTTCCAGGATGAAAACCGTTTTCATCTTGCTCGCAGTCGTCATAGCTGCGGTTGCTGCTAGCGAAAGCAAAAGCTCCGAGATACACTTTTTATCAAAGAAACTACCGTCTGCCTTTCATGAGGGGTGTAAAGTGGCAGGGCCGAGTTGAGTATGATAACATCATTCGCGGCAGAAATCTCACACTCGCCCAGGAAAAGGAAAAAATTGCAGCGTGGGCAAAAAAGTACGATCGCACGGTGCGTGCATCTCCAACTGTTTATTGTGGTGGCACGACTTTCAAAGACGCTCCTTATTTTCAGGAGCAGGTGAAGAAATTCAGAGCTGAAAAAGATGCAAGCTTCAAAAAGGTCGAGCAGCAGATTACCAAAGTGTTGAAGTCGTTACCAGCTGCCTTCAAGAAGTATGTAAAGATCCTGAAAAATGGAGATAAAACTATGGTGGATATAAAGAAGGCAGTGCGAGAGCTGTACAAAAAGGATAGACTGGTCAGAGGAAATATGCTCTATTTCTTAGTGTGACTGAGCTATTCTCGAACAAATACCATCATCATCAAGCATAATTACTTGCAGGTATTCAGAGTGCTGTTCGATACTTTAGACAATTTCAAAGGTTGGCCGCGCGCTCGCCCTGCTTATCGTCGTACACGGCCCTACAGAATCAGAATAAGGAGGAGACGCTTGGCAGCTCGTGATGAAAAGACCAAGAAGAACAGGACCACGGCTTCGGGTAGGAGAAGTACTCTTTATTCTATGCGCTTCAGTAGATCTCACACATTAAACTCAAAATCGTCCAAATAGCTGCTTGCTATAGTAGCAATAATTTTACGCTTGTGATGTTAACTTTACAGCTCGTTGCCTTATGTGCATGAGCTCTTGTGTTGTGAAATATTGATAGCATCTGACCAATGAACCGAATTTCCCAAACAAGCCCCCCTTTACTTTTGCATGAGGGGATAGATTCTAAAACCTCCAGGCCTCTCGTGAGGTGTCGTGCTTACAGGTTCAAGAGAGCAATGAATCAATGACGGGGATCTCGCGCGTTCGTGGATTCAGCAGCTGTTTCCGTCTGGTATTTGTCTCTGTGAAGTCGACCAAAATAAAGCATCCGTTTTCTTCTGTTTTTTCACTTCCGCTGAGGAAAATTTTTGAAAACACTGAAAAAAACCCCTGAAACAAATCTGCGTGATCAGTGCATGGACCCTTATTTAATGCAGCGAACCTTTCCCAAAAAGCTCGCTATGTCCTGAACACCCTTTCCCGTAAGAACAGTTTGACAGACAGTCGACATGGCAGAACGTAGGCTTATCCCCCTTAAATGTTTTGGGACATCCAGGTTACCTGACAAACTTATTTCTCTCTGTGTATATCTGTGTATACGGGGCCTTCCAGAAGTCCTATTGCTTCCAGAACAAACGGCCTTCCAGAGGTTCTATTTCTTCCAGAATGTCGAACACTACTATTGGTAGTGCACTAGGGATGTCCGCCATACCGATACTCTTCCCAATCCACCCAATCGGTCTATGGAGCCAGAGCAAATCAAAAGGTGGAAACTGCAGGGCAAGGAAGCAGCAATTGCCCGTGCATGCAGCTTACCTCCAGTCGATGGCAGGTTAGTCAACGACTTGTGGGCAAGGATTCGTTACAACTGCTGCTAAATCGGCTCTAGGAATTACGAAACCTGGTCGACGTATTGACAAACAAACGTGGTTGTGGACGGCCGAAGTGAAGCAGAAAGTAATGGAAAAGAACTTACAACTCACTTACAAGAACTGGAGCTTACAAAACCTGGCTCACGCATAGTACTGCCGAGAACTGGAGGAAGTATACTATCGCTAGACGAGAGGCGAAGAGATCCGTGGCAAAAGTAAAAGCAGAGCATTTCCGGAGCCTATACGAGCAGCTAGGCACCAAGGAGGGTGAGAAAAACATCTACAGGTTGGCGAAAGGACGGGCCCAGGCAGCGAAGGACGTTGAGCACTATACACTGCGAAGCATAATCATAGTTCCACCCATGAATCTCACAAAATCCCGTCTTACACGACGTTTTCAAAAATGCCCCCATACAGAAAATGTGGTAATTACCAATACCAATTCGCATGCCAACACCAAACTCTAGCTTGAAAAAACAATTTTTTCGTCAATTTTTCAAAAATGGTCGTTCTGACAACGCAGCAAAAATATAGTTCCACCGCATATTTTCCGGCTGCATCTCATTTTGTTAGGTAAAACTTCTCATCTTAATGACTTCCACTTGCCCTAGCCCTATCTAGGCTATGACAAGTGGAAGTTCATTAATGGAGCTCGAAAAAAAAGATTCTCCCAAAGAAACTCAAAAACTCATCGTTCTCTGGACATCGTTCTTCACTGCCGATCGGAATAAGCGCCGTATCTCTGAGGAAAGCATCCAACTCTGCAGTGTCGTGTCGGGAAATTCAAGTCATCTTCGGAGGTTAATGTCTCGAAGGATACTGTTAGGCGTGTCTTGAAAAACTCCTGAGTTCACCCACAGGAGGAATATGAGTTAGGCACTGTTTCCTAACGAAAAAACCATGCGAAAACCTAATTACGTTGCTTAAAGATTCTGCCGATTGGAGTGAGGTTAGCTTCGACTGCGGTGCCCTACTGCTTGTCTGGTTTGTTTTTTTTTCAGTTTTTTTTTTCTCGCGGTCGTGTTTTCTGATGAGAAAAAATTCAACTGCGACGGCTCAGACGAAAACCGATTCCGCTGGCACGACCTGAGGAAAGACAAGTTTCATTTTTCCGGGCGGAACTTCAGTGGATGTGGTCTCATGGTCTGGGCTGCCATCGCATCAATGGAACGTCTGAAACTGTGCTCCGTATAAAAAAATGATTTCTTCCGTCTATCTAAACGTCATGCGACGACGTCTCCTTCCTTTCTGGTGTAGAAATCAGCAAGAAAAGTCCCGTTTTCATGCAAGATAATGCACCAATTCATGACAGTCGAAGCACTCGAGCGTGGTTCAGTCGTCACCAAACCGCTCTTTTGCCCTGGCCAGCGAGTAGCCCCGACTAAAACCCAAGTCGAGGATGTGGGGGTACGTATGATCCATGCGAACATTGCACAACTCCACAAGGTCAAAGCCTAGGGAGTTAATCATTGGTGCAGTCGGCCGAAAGCCTATTGAAAATCTCTAATCGAAGCATGGGCAACCGTATTTTCCAACTTAATTGGAGAAATAGAGTTCCATAGATTACTGGATCAAAATTTATTCATTTTATTGTACACTTGTTGTTGGATTATTCGATTTGTTCGGTGGAACTATCATTTTGCTGCATTGTCAGAACGACCATTTTTCAAAAAATTGACGAAAAAATTGTTTTTCAAGTTAGTGTTTGGTGTTGGCATGCGAATTGGTATCGGTAATTACCACATTTTTTGTATGGGGACATTTTTGAAAACGTCGTGTGAGACGGATTTTGTGAGATTCATGGGTGGAACTATGATTATGCTTCGCAGTGTTAATCAGAAGTTGTCTGTGTCTGCGTGTATGTCCGGACATTCGGCATTACCAGAAGAGTCAGTTTGGGGGGCATGGTCAAGGGTGGTATGGGTAGGGTATGGGCCAGGATGTAGGGACCACACATGAACCAAGCTAAGCTCCGCCCGTTATGGGCGAGGCTTGCCCTTGATCAGGAGCCTTTAAATTCAAAAGTTCGTACTTTGTTTCTAGATGAGCCGGAAAAGCGGACGATAGGCACTCACTTGGCGGACGAAATGAGGAAGACACACCTATAGTGGGCGAAACGTACTAAAGACGGGCGACACTTGCTACCAAATTTCAAAGTTCGTAATTGGAGCGGCTCATGAGCGGAGTGTGAGTGAATAAGCATCGGTTTGCCAGAGGAAGACAGGAAGAGACATCCGTGGGGATCATGATGTGCACCGGCCGGTGCCGTCTACGATAGTTCTTTCTCCAATATCTTAACAACAAGAAGAGTGATCTATATAATTTCAGCCGCTGTCTCCCAGTGCGGTATGTACAACGAATGAAACTTTGAATTTTAGAAATTTTCGAAGATTTTTTCGACTTTGTCGACGACCGGACTGGACCGGACCTCATAGGAAAAACTCTGGGGCAACACTCACTCCACACGCGGAAGGAGGATCAGTAGGAAGCCGAGCGATCCGACTGTTAATTGGAATAAAGTTTTACAAGGGCTCTGAACCCCGCTGAAATCCATCTCGAGCGGTCTTCGAGGAACAATGGCATCCCTTTTGCAAGGGCTCCGACATAAGGGGATACCACGTATAAAAACGATGCTGGGGGAGGGGTCTTTGAAGGTCGCTGAGATGCCCCTTAGGTGCTTTCCGACCTTCAACGAGACCCCCTTTCACGCGATCTTCGATATGCATCGCCTATATATATGAACCAAAAGCTGTCTTTGTGTCTGTCTGTGTGTCTGTAAGGAAACTAGTCATTACAAGAGAGCCAGATTGGGGGCATGGTCAAGGGTGGTATGGATATGGCCTAGGATGTGTGGACAACACATGAGTTGAGCCATGCTCCGCCCACCATGGGCGGGGCTTGCCCTTGCCCAGGAGCCTTTTATTTCAAAAATTCGTATTTTGTTTCTAGATGAGCCGGGAAAGCGGAGTAAGTGCGAGGCAATAAGTTGGCGGACCAAATGGAGAAGACGCCCCATAGTGGGCGGGGCGTATTGCAGATGGGCGGCACTTGCTAAAAATTCAAAATTTTCGTAACTGGAGCGGCTCATGAGCGGAGTGTGAGTGAACTAATTGTAAGCACTGGTTCGGCAGAGGAAATCAGGAAGAGGCACCCGTAGAGACCATGATGTGAACCTGATGGTTGAAGCCGTCTAGGATGGTTCATTCTGCAATGCCGGGCGATCTGACAGGTCCTCGTTGGAGAAACTCTGGGGCAATACCCGCTTCACACGCAGAAGGGCGTTTTCTCTATATCTGTAGTACCTGGTAGGTACTACACATATAGAAAAAACTTATGAAGACACGCTTGGCAATGCCCGTAATGGAAGGCCAAGAAGAACGGAACCTCAGCCTTCAGGTAGGAGAAAGTATTCTTTTACCTTACGCCTCACTTGATCTCACACAGTGGACACGAAGTAGTAAAAGATAGTTCCTCCCAGTAGTAGTAGTAATAATTGTTAATGCTGCAATCTGAACTTTGCTACTGTTCGGCGTATGTGAGTAACTTCGATGAGCTGTAAAATCGAAATGTGAATGGTAACGTTTGAGATAACTAGATAAAATTTTCCGTAAAAGTTCCTCTACTCTGGTATGAGAGTATCGATTCAAGAAACCTCCGGGTTTATATAGGAGGTCGTAATTACAGGTTCAAAAATCAATAAAGCACGGGGATTCCTCATTGATTTACTCGATTCAGCAACTATTTCTATCCGATGTCGGCCTGTTTGAAAAATTCCATCAGCCAGATTGAACAACCAGCTTTTTCTGCTTTCTTCACTTCCGCCTAGGGAACTTTCGGCACACTGAGAGCAGAGGTCGTTCACAGTCATGGTGAGCTTTCCGAAAACGGCTTTTTGAATGATGATTTAGAAGTATCACGCAGGTAGCGTATTCTACGCAAGAGTTTGCGTTGGCTTTTATTGAGCATTACCTGGGACTGGCCGGAAGACTAAAACGTTATTCATAAACCAATTTTGCGCCGTCTCTTCTAGCTGTTAGAGTATGTTATAGGCTTTATGAAAGGCCTTCAGCTTATGCCACGAAAAACACGCAAAAGGTAAGGTCCAAAATCCGTATCGTGTGAGCTGTGTTCATTTGATTGAAGAAGTTACTGATGTTTTCTTGTCAGTATCACGCGCGTCTTGCTAGCTACAGTTGATGGATGGTGTGGAGTCGGTAGACAAAGCGATGGACTCACCCGAAAAGTAGAAGATCGAATCCGTTCAGGAACGAATTCTCGCTTTTCTCAGACTCTGACTTCTGTGGACCTGCGCGCTTGATGATGGGTACAGCCCAGATTTATACATTCAAGAGCTCGTTCAATACAGGA